TTTTTTTAACATTAAAGCATGTCAACATATTCTGTTACACCAAATACACAAAATAATGATCTTTAAAAAGCATCATATGACCCCTCTAAGACAGCTGACTCCACTGTGATGTCTCTCTCTCGCGCTCTCTCTCTCTCGCTCGCTCTCGCGCTCGCTCTCTCTCTCTCTCTCTCTCTCTCTCTCTCTCGCTCACTCGCACACACACACACACACACGATGCGCAAAACTCCGCATTTGAACAGTCAATAGCAAATACTTAAACTAATAACAAAACAGTAGCTGATTCAGAAGCGCCAGATTGTCATAGCAAAGTCAGAATTACCTCCTCTCCTAGGTTCACGAAACGGTCGTCCATAAAATGCATTGCTGTTCTGTTGTAAGTAATCTTAAAGATTCCTAAGTGCATCTACTTTCGGAAGGCCAAATAAAGTGCTTTTGCTTTCGCCTAGGAACACACAGCGTCTCCCTGACATGGCTGCTTCAACACTAACTGCGGTTACTGAAACCACGCCTTCTTTCTTTGCGTGCACATTTGGGCGGCATTATGCTAATATTTCCACATAGTGAGGTAGATATGTGGGGGCGTGTTAGAACGAGCCATTTTGGGGGGGCATGGCAGTCTTAACTTTGATAAAGAATATCTCTTTGGTTTTGAGACTTTAGTCTTTGCAACTTCAGGGATCTTATCTATGCACAATCAGCTTGTAACACTCCAAACAGAAAGGAAAACTTGAAATCGCATCATATGACCCCTTTAAGGCATCAACAAAAGGTTTATACAGTATGTGTAAACAGTTACTTAAAATCGTGAGGGATGAACATGTTCCATCAGAATTGATACTTGCTTTCAAATAAGTATTAAAAGTTTTGTTTTACAGTAAACATTTGTGATTTGCGTATTTGAATTTACTCACAGTACAGAATGCAAATCACAGTTAACAGGAACAAATCCTCAGCACTGCTTTTGAAGGAAATGTGATGTCTGAAACCTGCATACGATGCAAATTCAACTGATTTAGGATGTAACTTAAATTATGACATAACAGTCAGCAAGAAATATTTGCATGAATTGTAATGATTCAAGACCTAAATATACTCACAGGGGCTATTAGATGGGTCTAGACTCTAGAGCATTGCACTATTAAATGTAACACTTTTTTCTATACCACAAAGCAAACAAACAGCCCAAGTTTAAAAAAAAACACAGCCTGTACAAAGACAATAAGACTCAAGACATCTAAACAATATCAGACTAGAAAGTATACCTATGAGATAATACATTTTATTTGTGGAATGAATGTTTATAATTTCTGTCTGATTTCTGAGTAACATCAGTACGAACTTACTACACATTGCCACAAGAGGCTCTGACCTGACCTACGACAACAAACAAAATACTTTAAGGACTACCAATATATGTTGATCATTAATAGTGAGGTGATAAAGTGCTGCAAAGGTATACTTATACATCCTTAGACTTGGGTATATGCAATACCTTATTGTGGACTTGTCTAAAATAAAAGTCTGTGATTACACACACACAATTATTACCCGACAGATTGAGCTCTAGATGGTTGTGAGGAACTGTTTTGAAGTTCTGCCACCCTTGCTGAGGGAGATACTAAGATTGACTCCTTCATTATGTGACCTAAATCAACCAAATCACCTTTGATGGAGCCTTTAGCTTTTGGCTTTCTCATTGTGTTGAAATAGTGAGATGAGCTCCTTACATGTTTGGGTTTCCACCGAGCTAAAGTGAGACTCCATGTTCCAGGCCAAGTCTACTGAAAGGAAGTCATCCACTGCTGTTTGGGTCTCATTGCTAGTGTGGAAGAGGTGGCCAAGGCTCTGAAAGGAACTGGAGATGGTCTGGGTTTCAGCAGTGCTGAGCCTCACCTGGCCATCATGGGAGAAAGGCAGAGAAAGTGGAGCAGGCCTGACATCGGTCTGTGTTTCTGTGTCTGAGGACTCTGTGCTCATGCTGAAACTAGACTGTCTGAGGATACTGCCAAGGGGCATGTGCCCACCTGTGTCTAGCAAGAAGTTAAGGTCTGTCTGGGTCTGAGTGTCAAACATCTCAAGCTCCAGATCACTTGGTTGCACACTTGTTCCAACGTCACTGTTGTGCCCATTACCAAGGTTGTCGAAGAGCAGGAAGTCAGTCTGTGTCTCAATGTCTAGGAGTTCCAAAGT